CACACACACACATTAATACACAAATACATGTGCATACACACAGAAGGCCACCCACTCCATTCAGCCCCAACTGTCCTCCACCGACAGAATAATGAGCTCCTGACACCCAAAATGATATCGATAACACTTGGAGAAATGGCAATGGTGCTGCTAAAAAGACACAGCAGTTGGTGGGGGAGTGAGAAGACAAGGAGAGGCAGGGAAGAGAGAGCGAGGGAGGGAAGACTGGGGAGATGAGGGCCATTAGCTGCCAACACAATATAGCTACCACTTAGCCTAACTAGCAGGCAATGCGGCAAACTGCCAAATGACTTCTTTTACAAGTGTTCTGGTGACATGTGGATGCTTGCTTGGCTGCTAACATGAGGAAGTGTGGGGAGAGTTACAGTACAATTTTAATTTTGAATCCACTGTCAACAAACAAACTGGGGTGCATTATATGTGATGCTATAAACAACTCTGGCTAATAAACGCAATGTATCTAAGAGGAGTGCTGCTGAATATTGTCAAAAGATGTGTTATGAGGATGCTATCTAATGTTCTTTTCGATGTCATTCATGAAACAAACGATTCAGAGAGATACAGGAAAACAATCAAAGCATGTTATACCAAAAGGCGTCCCAGGGTAGCCTTACTCTTCCGTACAACTAAACAGAAGGACATTTTTGTAATGTTTTATTAAAATGCTTTAAAAATAGTCCCTCTGATTTTTTTTTTTAAAGGTTATAATATAATGCTTTGCTTGAAAATAACCGGAGGCTCTCAAAATTCTCCTAAAATATTATTTTTAACAATATTTACTAGTATTGAGAGCACACAAGTCAACAGCATTTGCTTCTCAAAAAAAATTAACTTAACTTAACAAGACATTATGATCTGCAGTCCTCACTCTGATCATTAGTCTCTCATTCTGATGAGCGACACAGGCTTCCTTTAATACCCTTTTAATAATCACATGAGTGGCAGTGTATGTCCTCATCTCCCTCATTTAGCCTAGAAATGTCTGCAATCAACAGATACAACAAAAGGACAATGACATCCAGCAGATGTGCACAACGCAATAAAAAATTATATCTTGCACGCAGACAAGTATGTTCCCTCACATATATCTATTTTCATTAGTCCAATGCTCCTATGCTCAAATTAAAAAAATAAGAGGGATCACCTTATAGTACATACTACAGGTGCAATGAAGGGAGAAACAAGACTTCTTTGGACAATGTTTACCTGACACTGATGAAAGGACAATCACATGTTCAGCTGCCACCTGTGATTGTATTACCGCTTCGACTTTACACTGAGCAGCCTGACATTTCAGAAGGAAAGGTTGCTAATACTGCCGCGGACTCACTGAAATGAACAGAACACCCTCTGGATGGAGAACGTTGGCTTAAGCTTTCTGAACAAATCTCTTTTGTCACTGGGTACTATCACCAATGTGACAGAGTGTCGTGTTTTGAAAAAAGGAGTAAAGAATAGATGCGGTGTGTGGATATCATATTCACAATCTACAAAGAGAACGATGCAAAACAACCTTCGGCAAGCAACAATGTCAGGCTTAAAGAAACAAAGATGGGATAGAAAATGATTATTTACAGAACACACAGAGATTGCGGCGGTAGATGTTCCTCTCAAAATGTCACAAAGGATGTGAGAAAATGAATGTGTGCCGGCAGGTCACCCGTCTCTTAATATACCAGAGAAAATGGTATCTGCTCAGCTGGATTCTGGGAGCATATTTTCCATAACTAGACATACCTCGCCACCTGGTGTTCACAAGCTGGTACTACTGCCATACCACTATCAGTAGTATTTCATAGTGTATGTGTGGCAGAATGAGGACTTATTATGAGATTACATATAAAAAGAACAGCGAGAGAGTCCTGAGTGCTGGGCTCAATACCTGTGTTTGCTGGTGCTGGCAGTAGGGGCGATGTCTGGGGTCAGGACATACAGGCTGTTGTTCTTGGGCAGGTGTAAACTTCTCAGCACCGTCTGATTAAACACACACACATACACACAGA